CTTTTCCTTATCTACTTTCTCTACTTCACTCATAATTTTATATACCTCTATCATATCCCCCCTTAGTCTCCTCTTTTCCAAGCTGAAAAGTCCTAGCCTCTTTAATCTCTCCTCATATGGGACCCTCTCCAACCCCCTAATCATTTTAGTTGCCCTTCTCTGAACCTTTTCTAGTGCCGATATATCTTTTTTGAGATGAGGGGACCACATCTGTACGCAGTATTCAAGATGTGGGCGTACCATTGATTTATATAAGGGCAATAATATATTCTCCGTCTTATTCTCTATCCCCTTTTTAATGATTCCTAACATCCTGTTTGCTTTTTTGACTGCCTCTGCACACTGCATGGACATCTTCAGAGAACTATCCACGATGACTCCAAGATCTGTGAACAACAGAACAGCTCCTCTGCTCTCCCCCCTTCCTGCAGCACCCAGCCTGGGAACATAAGAACATAAGAAAGGCCGTACCGGGTCAGACCAAAGCTCCATCTAGCCCAGTATCCTGTCTACCAACAGTGACCAGAATAATAACAACCTTTTTCGCAGCTGTATCACATGCTGACTCATTCATTTTGTGATCCACTATAACCCCTAGGTCCTTTTCAGCAGTACTACCACTTAGCAAGTTATTCCCCAGTTTATAATTGTGCATTTGACTTTTCCTTCCCACTTGTCTTTATTGAATTTCATCTTGCTGAATTCAGATCAACTCTCCAGTTTGTCAAGCTCATTTTGAATTCTAATCTGTCCTCCAAAGTGCTTGCAATCCCTCCCAGATGTCATTTGCAATTTTTAAAGTATTTTATATTCTCCATTCCATTATTCAAGTCATTATTAAAATATTGACTATTACCTGACCCATGGCTGACCTCTACAGGACTTCACTAAATACATCCTCCCAGTTTGACGGTGAACCATTGGTAACTATTCTTTGAATATGGTCTTTCAACCAGTTGTGCACCCACTCTATAATAAATTAATCTAGACCTCATTTCCCCAGTTCGTTTATGGGAATGGCATGTGGGACTGCATCAAAAGCCTCACTAAAAGTCAAGAATGTTCATGTCTACTGCTTCCCCATAGGTACATAACCCTTTCAAAGGAGGAAATCGGGTTGGCTTGGCAGGATTTGTTCTGGCTATTTCTTATAACCCTATTATCCTCCACATGCTTACAAATTGTTTACTTATAATTTCTTCCAGTATCTTTCCAGGTATCAAAGTTAGACTGACAGGTATATAATTCCCTGGGTCCTCTTTGTTTAGAGATAGGTACTATGTTTGCCCATCTCCAGTCTTCTGGAAATTCACCCATCCTCCAGGAGTTCACAAAGATAATTGCTAATGGTTCAAGATTTCTTTAGCAAATTCCTTAAGTACTCAAGGATTAATTTCAGCAGGCCCTGGTGAGTTGAATACATTGTCTTGAGTAATGTTTTTAGTGAAGACTGAAGCAAAAGAGCCATTAAACACCTCAGCCTTCTTGATGTCATCAGTTATTAGTTCTCCTTTTCCACTATGTAGACAAGCTACACTTTCCTTCATATTTCTCTTGCTCCTAATGTATTTAAAGAACTTTTACGTACGCCTTATGTCCCTTGCTAGGTGAAACTCACTTGGTGACTTAGCCTTTGTTCGTACATGCTTGTACTATTCTTTTGTACCTCTCCTTAGCAATTTGTTCATGTTTCCACTTTTTGTAGGATTCCTTTTGGATATTCAGGTCATTACAGAGCTTCTGATGGAGACATATTGGCCTCTTACTATTCTTCCTATCTCTCCTTCACATTGGGATAGTTTGTAATTTAATATTGTCTCCTTGAGAAACTGCCAGCTCTCCTGAACTCCTTTTGCTCTTGGATTTTCTTCCCAGGGGACCTTACCTGCCAATTTTCTGGGTTTGTTAAAGTCCACTGTCCTTATTCTGCTTGTTATCCAGGGTTTTGCTGATCCCAAAGCTCCTGGTAACTTTACTCTTTGTGAAACAGTGCCAGGAAATAAATCAATGAGGACACAACCATCTAGCTGATAGATAGATGATACAAGCAGGCAAACAGAAGTGCTTTCACTCAACGCTTCTACTTTATTTAGTCTCCAGCACTTACACATGTCCACAACAGGTTAGTAGAGCACCCCAAATTACCCCCAGAATTGTGTTTACTCAGGGTCTTGAGGAGGTCTCGAGTGGAGAACTGTAGACGTCCAGTGGCCAGCCTTCCATCTACAGCCTTCTATCTACATGAGAGGTGTCTCAGATTTCTTCCTCTTTTTATACCCAATTTGTTAGCCTGACATATCTTGTTCCATTAAAAAAAAATACACAAAAAACCCTGCTGAGCAGAAGCTAAGTTAAGTATGGTGCTTTCCAGCCTGTAGTTTTCCAGCCAGTAGTGTGGAATTTTCCATCAGTTAACCAGCACTATTTCACATAGCAATAGTTAACTATTGCCAGACCTTCCATCTTGCACAACCAAATGCTTTGGCAAAAAGCTCAAGTTAGGTGGTCATAAGGTCATGTTTACTCCTCATGGTCACTCACTTCCCTCTCCCCTCCTGGTCTGGTAGTTGTGCTCAGGCTGCTACAAAGGCCTTACAGCTGCTTTCAGCAATAAGCATACCAATTGGTATTTCAGCTGTGGGCAGTGGTTTAGGCATGTTACTGGGTTAACAAAATTTCCTTCTTACATGCTGCTCTCACTTCTTCCTTTCCTTAGAGTCATGACATTTATCATTTTGCCATCCCTTTCACTCAAATTGCCTTCCATCTTCAGATTCACTAGCATTTCCTCCCTGTTGGTCAGAATCAAGCCTAAAAGGCTGTCACCCTGGTTACTTACTCCACTTCGTGAAACACAAAGTTGTCCCCGTACATTCCAAGAACTTACTTGAAATTTTATGTTTTGCCATATTACTTTTCCAACAAATGTCTGGGTAGTTAAAGTTCTCCATTACTACCAGATCCTCCTTCTCAATCTCCTCGACCTCCCCTTCTGCCATCCACAACCCCGACATCTTCATCCTCTCTCTGAACCACCAGTCTGAACAACCAGATAGTCTGAACCGACTCCAAGGAAGCTTATTGGTTCAATGTTCATGTGTTCTGCTGGTTGATATAGGCCTAGTTTGGCTGTCACCAGTTACACTGTACATGGTTTTGAGTTGAGATGTATGAGTGTGGTTTGGTGTTAGAGGGTGGCTGCAAGTTCTTTTCTCTGTGAGC